GTGAATGAGAATCCAGTCACGTTGTATGTTCGACGTTTGAGTGACTCAGATGGTGCCGCGAGGAACTGAATAGATTCTTTGTTTTTTTCGTTTCCCATCGACTCCGCCGTTCGACTGTTAGCCTTTCCCTTACAGTACCAGTACCAGTACCTGTACGACAGAAGCCATACAGTCGGTATCGTACATCATTGGCAACATCGTATCGGGGCGAAGGTAGCATATGTGTTTTCCTTTCTCAAGAGCATCATAGAAGATTTGAATGGCATAATCTGTAGAGAGCAACTCCTTTGAATAATTGAAATCAATCCAATACTGATACAAAGGTAATAAATTCCTAATATTAAATCTGAAATCAATAAATATAAAAGGTATGTATAAAACATATAGGCCACAATAAAAGAGCCAGAGTTGTTGGGGAGAAACTTGGAGGGGAGATTTGGTTTTCCGTTTTGTAAGAGCAGAGGCGAAAAGACACCAGAAATGCGATAGAAAGAAAATTCAGAATCATGTATGTAGAGCATGAGGCCCGCCGAGCGGCTAGAGAGCAAAGACGCAGAGGAACGGGCGCAGGGACAACTCTGCGTCTCTATTCACTATCCGCATGCTGGGCCTATTCCACCCCATATCGAAAACGTAATTTATAAATGTAGCTTTCATCAAAATATCATAGTTATAGTAGTCAACATTCGCTACGATGGCATACCTGTAGTTCCTCCTCCAGGCTTTGTAGCCGAAATGATACCCGGGAAACGTAGACAACGGAAATCGGTACCAAATTTGTGATAATAATATTCTCCTAGTCGTTCAGCGTATACCTTTAACAACCACATACCTTTGATAGACTTTTCGCCTAAATCGAACTCCATATGATCAAAACTTACTTTTGATACTCCGTAGATGGTGGTGGGTTCCTGAATAGTTAGGTCAGGAACATTGTCACGTGGTGTTGTCGGACCAAAGGCACCGATTGTTGACGGAATAAACACTTTCAGTTGGTGTTTTCTGAAAACGGTTCTTGCTTCGCATACAACTCGGTAGGATTCATTTTTTCCATTTTCTTTTCATTTTCTTCCCTCCACTTGTTTACTATACCTCCTCGCTGGTTAGGGAGTTGTAAACAACAAACATTCCCTAATACGGCTGTCATGCTAAGGTTCATACAAAACCGTACGTTGTAAGCTTACTCTTTGCTCACTCTATCAGCTGATACGGCAAATTCCGATTTCCGGAGCTCGACTCTGTTCTATTCACTTTTTTCCGGTCCTTTTCTGGTAAGAGGTATTAGGTGATCCGTGACCCGAAACTTTTCGTCGTTGATCACCTCCCTCGAAGTGCCAGTACCTTACCCTGCACCTACTTTTTCGGTTTTCTCTCTCCTGTCACCCGCTACAGCAGACATCGTATGATTAGCAATCTGCTAACTGACTAATGTGCTACCGGTTTTATACATACGCGCGTACAACGCGTCGTTATAATTGATTTCACCATCATACTGACGATCTGATCACATCAGTATTACCCTTTATCACGTCTCTATCAATATATCACGTGTACATACATTTCAGTACGTGGAAATAAATTATAAGAAATGATCGATGGCACAACGGGTCGATCAGTCACGTCCAATAGGCCTCCAAGAAAAAGGCAGAACTGTAGAGCACAAGAAGTGGAAGGTTTGGCAGGTAGTGGAATAACCCAATGAGAGGTTCCTTGGCCGAATAGTTCCTCTTTCTCCTTCGGTATGCAGTTCTTTATAACGACCAGTTCAAGGTTATATGGTGTGCAAGCTGTTTACATTATCTTGGGGTGATAAAGGAGGGTGATAGATGATGAAGGGTGAAGTAAGTCTGCCCTACTCAGTCTAGCTTTTGGGGAGAACCATAGTTACCATCTGGAATCACATGGGCATTTTGAATGCGTTCAGGACTTGGGCGAGAATCGATCCGAGAGGGGAGATGGATAGGAAAAGGATACAGGGAGCTTGAACGATGCAATAAGTTCGAAGCAAACCTAGATCTGCAGAAAACGCTCCCTCGAAATTGGTCTCGGTAACAACTTCAAAAATGAGCCAAATACTCTACCTCTATTAAGAATCTCTGAGGAATTTTGAAGTTTTCTCTGAATTGCTTTACGATGGCCAGGTCAGGCTCGATTCGCCGTTTTTTTACCGATTTCTCCAACTTGAAGTATGCGAGCGGAGCTCGAGCCCTCAGTTTTATGATATATAGAAGCAGACTGATCAGGTATTTCGGTTCCTAGTCAAAAGCCGTCTCGCATTTATAAATCGTTTACATTTCCTTCCGAGTGCATCAGTAACTGTAACTAGAACTACTTTTCGATTCCTTCATATCGAGCAAGAGTTCGAGAATCACTTTCTGGTGGTGTTCCCTCTCCTATTCTCTTCGTAGCAGAAATGCGAAATTATTTGGCGGCCGTTGAATGTGCCCATTCACCAAGGTCGCGCCGCACATAAAGCTAAACTACCATGAAAAAACCCCTATTCCGAACCGTCGGTAAGGTCAACGAATCGTTGGCTACAGCACGCATGGAATCAAGAGCAAGGCTGCAATCCATCAAAAAAGACTTAAGGTTACAATGGGCTAAATCTGTACCAAGCACAAATGAAGAAGACCCCGAACCCTTCAGAATTGTATAGCCGTCCCTATCCTTTTGAGTAAGAACCCATTCTGCAGATGAAGTTGGAGAAGGTTCCATAAAACACCGGCATCTGTTCCAGTATTTCATACATAGAGCATTAGCTTCCACAGCAGAGTGATAGGGCTCCCAGAGTCGACATCCTCGAAATCCATGACAATTGTAATCGGTCATACTTCCTGAGGTTAGGGTACGAGGGGGCCATAGCGTCGATTTGTTGAGCCCATTTTAAACCCTTCATTGATAAAATATCCTGATTTTAAATTTCTGTGCTGCGATTTCATGGAGCAATTCATAAAATGTGGACGATGGCATGGAATTGAATAAGAGATTTCTCCTTACAAGCTACATCAGTTAGGAAATTCACATGACACTGTTTAGATGGATTCAATTGAATTCTTTTTGATTGCATTGTAGTTTATGAGAATAGCTCCAGAGAACGATTAGCACATGAGAAAAATCACGGAGAGCAAACAGTAACACGGGATGGTTATGGGACATTACCCACAGCGATGGGGTCTAGTCTTTGTAGCTGGTGTAAAGAAATTGTTTTTGTAGAGATAGCTGATTTTCATGTGTTGGACAGCCTCGGGAACGAATTCTATAGAATATCCTTTCCATAAAGAACATGATCATTGAATTCGGGAATTCTTTCACCTCCCATTCCCGCTGATTACTGGAATAATAAAAAGTAATGCGAAGGTCAGTCTTGAGGTTCACGATTTGCCAACATCTTTGCAGCTTCAAGTACTGGAAGGCTAGTGAATGAATGCCAAATCTAGATCGCTTTCCGAAGGTTTGACGCCAAAGCACTTAGGGGGAGCGCAGCTGCGAAACTGTCGGAGTGCACGTACCTACCGTTCTGTGGTAGATTTATGAATAATGAAGACTTAATCAAGAACACTCCTAGACCCTCTACTAACCCTACGGAACCCTCGAAAAAATTTTCAGGTATACCTGGCAACCTCGAGAACGTTTTCCACTCCACGGCAGTTGATTTGTAAGGCTAAGTTGACATTTTGTTCTCCGATAGCACTGAGTAGTGCGGAGTAATGAACGATAGTGTCGATGTGTCTGTCGACCACGAGTCGTTCGATTGCGTCCCTATTCAGTATATCCAGATAGGAATAGTTGTCTGAAAACATTGAGAATCAATTTAAGTCTGCAGAAAACCTCTGGGCTTTTACCGAGAAAAACTATCAAAATGCATCGCATACATCCGTCTTTATTCGGAATTATTACATCTACTTCACCATGAAATATTCAGTTAAATTGTCAATTCACACAGAGAAATGAATGAATGATGGGCCATGCTGGGACTAATTTTTTCCGAAAATTGCACCTAATCAGAGCTATTTAATTGATACTTAAGCTCTCTTTATTGTTCCTCTGAATAATAATTTCATATTCACTACCGTTATTTGTTTTATTCTTCGCGTAGCTGAATAAAAAAGGAAAAAGCTTTGATTTGAAGGGAATCTCAGGAACAGTTGTATCGAATTGTATTGAAAGCTACAAGTTTCCCACTGAAACTGGTTTATTATTATGACTTTGCATACGCATGAAAAAGGTACGTAATCATACAGTAACCCATGAAAATTGAACATCCCATCTCTTAGTTTCCCACCCTTTTTACCAACACTTCATTTGATTCATTTGCTGAACCATAAATATGAGAAAAACATTTATCGCCTGCTGGCTCTTCTATTTGACTGTTCTGATTACGGTATAACAAGTCCTTTTTACTGTAATGAGTACTGTATCAGTACCCATTCTTGGAGGATTCTTTCGGAATACCCACTCACTTATATCTGAAGCATTACTTGGTGCCTTGACAATGTCGGTCATCCATACGCTGTCCTCTCCATACATGTATCTGAACAATTCGATTTTTTACTTTTGAAAATCACCTGAACTTCCGGTTTTTCCATAATTTTTTCTTAGGAAGACTTTGAGTTTCACATTTTTAGGAATTTTGGCAGACGAATGCCTAAAAACCTTTGTTTGGAATCCGAGTTGAATTAGAACTCGGATTTCAACAGATTGACCACTAGCAGCACTTTTGTGGTACCCTTAGGCTGTCGCTCGGGAATCTACCTATTCTAAAAGGGTGTACCATGTAGGTAATACATACTTGTATACAGTGTTCAGACCGCGGCCAAGTTGACCAAGTCCTCCGGTGATCAGAACTCGATGCCTTTCGTCAGATGCATTCGCGATCGCCTTGAACCTTGCCAAAGGATCAGCCTGAAATTTTGTACTCTTTTGGAGTTAATAGAAAATAAAGTAGTTGAACTAACTTAAATCGAAGTGGAAGCTGAGTGCTTTCAAGAATTCAGATCCTGAGGCTATTAATTTCGGTAACAATCTAGTCTTTAATGATTGGGAATCATCTTTTGTTTTTGTGTTTCTCTTCGTTGGTTTCCCATCCACCCCCCCCCCCCCCCCTCCCCCTTTCCCGTTCACATTTATTGGGGACGTGCGGGGATCCACAGCTTTGCAAGATTTCAAAGTCTCACAAAGTGCTGAGTTGTCCTCGTTCAAGAAAAGGCGATTGTAGGCGTTCATACTCTGGAAAATCAGCACGTTTCTACCCTAGAAAGGAGTCCATCGGGTTGTCTACAGAAGTACCTTCGCGAGCACGTCCCTGAGAGAACAAGCTCATCGGGCAACGCCATCTCGCCGACTCTCTCAGCCTTCCTTCGGATGAGTCATATGTCAAAAAAAGCGGAGCTAGCTGATTCATAACAGTCATGTGAAAGCGTCCGTGCGCGTTTGAATTTTAAGAAGAAGCGGAATTATTCCTCTGGCACCATTCACGTATACGGTCCAAAAATCGTTCCAATCATCGATTTTGGAGATGCTTTTCCCCCAAACATCAGAATCTCACAAATAAGTGGACGAAGAATTTAGAGCTCTAGCTCATCTAATCAATTTTCGCTAATCAGCCAGGCCTGGAACATACCCAGGAGCCTCAAATCTTCGTAAGCAGGAGGAACTTAGAAGGTCGCATCGTTGGTCATTGGACTAAGTGGCATTTTTCTCTGTCCTGTGATTTTCCTGTTGATGGGAAAAAAATACGATAATCAGATGATCAGAACTCCACCGCGAAGGTAGGAAGGAGGGAAGTTATTTTCAAAGCCCCCGATCAAGTCCTGGTAACCCTCGCAGCTTCCCCTAAGGGCCAACCCGCTTCCTGAAGATTCTGCAGGAAGGTGAGCCCAGACTCGTCTCGGTTATGGCTGATGAGATGAAGTGGCAACCCTTTCTCTCTTGGTGGGGTGGTATCTTACCGGAGTTATGTATATTCCTGTTACTCGCAACATGGGTATGAATAATTGATAGAGAAGGCTAACCATATGGGAACAAAAACCACTTTCATGGCAGTCTCAGGGAAATTTACGGCTATTACACAGTGATGGCGAACGACGGTCAGTAAAAGTGTCTCGGATGTTTCCATTTCCATGCTGAATGAAAAATATATAAATTCTCTTCATCCCTCTGAAAACCATAAATTTCAGGGAGCTTTTTTTTCAGAGAGTTTCAATTTTCGACGAGTTCTTCTGGCTCTCATTTTGCAGCACCTTGAGATGTGAGTGTTTCCATATGGAGCTGTATCCACAGCGAAGCACACTAACTGTTCTACTCACATCGAGCATCGGTAGGATCCGATCTCAGATCTCAACTTGTGCTCAAAGTGCTTATCCCCTGAGCTACTGATAGTTATCTTTGGTTGCTGTTCGATGTTCAATGCATGATTTCTTTCGTGTGATATGTGTTATGGTATGAAAGGCATTTTTTTGTATTCTACACTAATAAATAAATAAATAGGTGAATAAACAAGTGAATAAAAGTTACTATGCTTGAACACACGCAGTGTTGTACTTGCTCCAGTTTAGTCCGGGGCGGGACGTTGGACCAATAAAGCAGCAGCACTTCTACAAGCCTGTTTCACGACTTATGGGATACACCACGCATTAGACTTCCATTCAAAATTGTATTGGCGTTGGAATGCGTGTGTGGCCTACACAATGACTTGCAGCGACCAGTTTATGGAGATACAGTGCTTTTACTCTCCCAGACGAGGCTGCACCCATCTTATCGACCCGGGAGGGTTTGGAAGACGTGGTTGGCATGGACGGACATCGTTCGGAAGTCCGATCCATCCATCCTACACGTGTGTGACAGTGCGTCACTAGTCACTATGCCAGTTCCACCCTTCCTCACCTAGTAAAGTCAAGGAATGTAACAAATTAGAGTAAGGTTCGAATATCATTGAGCAAACAGAATAGATTACTGTATTGCCCATATACTTTTTCCTACTTACATCAAGGTCAACCAGACATTTGGTTGCCGAATTCCCATCCCATGTTCGAGATAGACATAACGTATGCTATGTCGGAGAAATAAATCACTTTTCTCAGACTCACCGGTAGAGCATACGATCGTGTAACGTTGACATTCAGAAGAGCGGCTGATCGTCTGAGTATTTTTCCCGAAATTGATGCCATTTGACTGGAATACAGAAGTACAGTATGACGCTGAAGTAAAACAGGGAGGTCGATTGCGACACAGATTGGCAGAATGACAAAAATTCATTGATGATTGAATCAATTTCAGGACAACAATAGAGGCGAATGTGAAATTTCGTTGAAAAAAAGTCAAAGCCCATTATTCTCTTGGATATGCACTTTTCAAAAGCTGGCTGATTTGACAAATCAAACAAAGAATAATACAGATTTTGGTATCGCTAGAGCAGCTCTTTGTTCTCGTTATATAGATTGTTTCACTGCCGAGAGAAGGGTGGATTTCGTGAGCTCCGGTTCAAAAGTCCAGAAAAAGATTCAGATAGTCATTCTCAATGAACATACACGTTTCATTCAGTGTTTATTTATTTTTTTATCATTTGTTTGTTGCAATATTACTTCATTTGATTACTTTGCTTATCTTTTTGAACACAAGATGCTGTTTGAAGTGAGGGCTTCGCCATTAAGTGAATGGAAACTATGCCAATTCATCTGGTCCATATAATGAGCCCCTCTAACGAGTTTCCATGCTCGGCTCCTACCTTAGGATTTACCTAGAATAGCCGTATGGATAAAAATTTGGACAAGTGAACCAGGGTGCAAGATGACCGAGCTAACCTAGACGATGGGCGGAGCTTGCGCTAAAATAGGCGGTGTTTGAGCATGAATACCCTCGCTCAGCTTGCTACCAATTCAAGCAGGAAAAAGGGGTGATAGTCAATAAGGATAATATTAGTGGGTAGAACTAGGCGAGACGTCAATCCAGAGACTACCTTTACTTCTTTGGAGCGGCTACTTATGCCAGCAATAGATGACTAACAGGTTTCAGAGACATTCAATACAAAACTCCTATTCAAAATTATTTACTTCCTTTGCCCTTTGAATTTATGATTGGCCGTTGTCATTTTCGAAATGTAAATAACCTACGTCTTCTTTGAGTCAACACCGAAACTAGAACTGTTAAGGGAAGGACTCTTTTTTTGGTCGGTGGTGAGAAGTTAAGGTAAAACGCCATTGAAACTAGACAATTCATTTATCTTCCACACAAGTACCTTCTGTGAAACGACTATTTGAGTTTATGGAAACACTATTCTTTATACACAGTCAATCTTGAGGTAAGTTAGGATAATGTAGAAGATCTATCGGTAGCGGTAGGTATCTGGGAACGGTAAGGCTAATAGTTCTTTCATTTCCTAATTTGAGAAGATGTTTGCCCTAGTAGAGTTTTGGGTGACAGTAATACCTACCATGGTCCAGTGATAGGCAACATCCGTATTGGTATGGCAATGATAGATGATGAGACATTCAAGAGATGATAGGCTATCTGTTAACAGGCCTTGGCTAACGAAATTGGAACCGGCTGGAGGTGTGAAAATGACGACAAAACGAATTGACAATCGCATAACAAGCTAAGACAGCCTGAACGTTGACTTCCTAGGGTTTAAGTTGAACCGCTTCTGGTAATCGGTAAAAGACCGATGTTTGACGATTCGAAGGGAAAGGCCGTTAACTTTTATGGCATGCAGGATAAAAAGTAATAGTTTCATGGGAATGAATTTTGTCAAAATGCCTCTTTTCAAAGACGATTCTCCAGATTTCTTCTCCAGTTTAGTCATGGAACTCGTTCATTTTAGAGGAATTCCTATTTCTGCAAGAACTGATTCCACAGTAAGTGGTAGGTAGCCGTCACAAGCCTGCTGGACTTCCCACATCGTCCAACGGGCTTGTGACCGTAGCTACTCATTATGAGCTTACAGATAACAGCACTCAATCAGGCGCTTTAACTAGGAGGCTGAGGCTGGGTGACGATCACCCAGCAACCGTTCAACATAAAAAACGTTCGGGCCAAGAATTCCTGAAAGCGAGGGATCACATGGGAACATTCTAAAGATCTGAAGAGGACGGAATGTAGCCATGACGTAAGATCGCAAAACAGATACGATGAGAGAAAAATGGCAGAAAGTCATCTGCAACGGCAACGAAGCACCACGACTGCCGATGGGAGGATGACTGGGCCCTGTAACGGGGCGTCGGAATGCTGTCGCCGGGTACGGTAGGGGTTCGTGCGCACGCACGTACACATACACCCAAAAGACTTTTCACAATGTGAAATGGGCGGAAGGAATATCACATTTGGAGACAATCGCCGAATAAAATGATGACCGCCTACGGACGTTGACGTTATGTGACGTTGATGTCACACGTTGATGGTGAACAAGCGAAATTGCCACGTGCTTCTGGTATGGGAACGTGCCGAAGTTTTTTTGGAGCTTCTATTGAATAATGCGTCCGCTGACGAAATAAACGCTCAACATCGAAAGCTATTTCAAAAGTGAAAACGCTACTTTTCGTAAGTTTAATTTGAAAATCAACAAGAATCTAAGGGAATTGGGCCACCTAGTGCTTTTATGACTTCCCCCTCTTATATTGCGCCATGCTTTTGAGTTTCATTCAAAATTGTGGCAACAGTGTAGGCTTTCGTGACTTGTACAAGATGTGACGTCGGCCAACTTAATGCAGAATTTTGACGTTATCGATCGAGTTTGAAAGCAATCAATCAAACAGGAAAGTTCTTCGTGGCATGGTAATTTTGGAAACCTGCAGTTATAACAGTCTGTAATATAGAATTTCTAGGAATCGTGTCTTTGATCGATTGTTTTCGGAATTTTTCCGATGATTTGAATTGAAAGAATCGATCGATGACTTCCATAGCAAAAAAATCAATGAGGCACAAATCAATTTGCAGCCTCAGATCGAGTCCCAACAGAAAACCTGATTATCGGACCATACGCATGATAGAGGGTAAGGTTGATCATTGCTTACCCATGCCTCCCAAGGTTAGTGAATAAAGAGCGAAGCATTTAATCTCCGAAGGGACTTAACTCGTACCTTCTGTCTGGGAACCGTACTCTTCATCTCCTACAATATCCTGACCCCCGCAGGAAAACTTGTCACCCTTATGAGTCTTGGCATCACCCACTGCGGCGAAGATTAGCAGCTAATAAAAAACGACAAGTCAAAATAAATTATTTATCCCCTTATTTATTTACTATTCTCCTAGCTACCTATTCAGGTGATTATTGATAGGGTGGTTTATGTGACACAACAAATAAGTAAACAAACATGGTAAGTCAAGGAGATTCTGTCCGAGCCATGTGTTTCGAGCTTTATATACAAGCGATGAGTACATGAAGAACAGCCCGGCTAGTTTTTTTTTTTTCGTGAAGAATTTCGCATTCCACTCAGGACGCCTTCAGAATCGTCTCGACCTTCGAATGTGTATGATTTGACTGTTAGATATGTATGCTGTGAGTTTCAGAACGGATGAAAGCATCAAGAATTGATTGGCTTTGAAATCGATCGGTCAAATAGCTGAATAATAGTGAAAAGCATCTATTGGTCAGGGAGTGTCCAGTGATGAGCCTGAATTAAATAAATAAATAAAAGTATTGCATGGCTTACGAAGACTTGTGAGGTAAGCGGACCACAATGATTTTCGTGGGCTTCAATTCACGTTTTTAAATACTTACTGTTTGTCTGGGTAGTGTAAGGGACGAAAAGCTTTGTGTTGGGCAAGCATAAGTACAGGCTCGAGTCCGGGCCGAGGCCGAAGTTTTACTNGTGTGTTGCTCGAATGTAAGTATGAGCCTGAATTAAATAAATAAATAAAAGTATTGCATGGCTTACGAAGACTTGTGAGGTAAGCGGACCACAATGATTTTCGTGGGCTTCAATTCACGTTTTTAAATACTTACTGTTTGTCTCGGTAGTGTAGGGGACGAAAAGCTTTGTGTTGGGCAAGCATAAGTACAGGCTCGAGTCCGGGCCGAGGCCGAAGTTTTACTCACAAGTACCCATCCTTGTTCGGTTTGTTGTTTGTTTTTTTGTTTATCGTCTACACATGGTGCCGCCTACAAACTCTACGGTTTCTGAATATGGCTCCAGAAGGAGCAAACCGATTCATGTGAAACTTCTCACCCTTTGGCTTTTATTGTATTTTTTTTTTGTTTAATTACTTTTTTCAGCCAGTTGCTTTCAAGTAGTTTGTCGTATATAGCATGTTGAATGAATAAATGAATCATTTTCTTGAGCCATTTTTTCAAGACGCCTCCAAAGCCGCTACCGTTTTAAGCTGATAAACTGAGGTTGAAAGCTTTCTTTATCTCTAATTCTTATGACGAAAGACGTAATATTAGTGCTGTACTACACGATACTTGTCAGTACTGCCTCCTCCTGTATCGACTTCTAGTAGCATCACTCTACAAGTACTTTTCGGTACCCTTGGATAGTAAACTACCATGGGACGATCCGATGAAGATGGACTTCGATCAGTTTCTCTCTCTGCCCATAATCGATGCTCGAATGCAATTCAAGCGGCCAATAAAGAAATATAAACGGTATGAACAGATAGTCGAAAAAACGATAAACATAATCACTGCTGGGAATTTCGCTCAAAAATGGTTCTCTCCTCCAAAGGAAGCCAATTCGGTCTAATACCCGGATATGGACCTCTTTGAAAGCTGCTGAGCTGCTTTGGTCGTTTGCACTGTACTACCCGTTACAGATATAAATCCATTCTACTGACAAAAATTATTCGAAGTTATCTATTAGCATTACCATTAGTTACCAAACATCAGATAAATATATGTAGTAAAGTATGAAGGCGTTCAGCCTGTATATAAAGTGCCTTCTCCGATTGATTGTTCAATCAAACATAGATTGGAGTGCTCCACAGCTCTATATAGGAGATCAATGCATGGCGTATCGCGAAGAAGGCTCTCGCTTTGATTACTTTTTCCTGGAGCTTTCATTCCGCCTTCTTGCGATTTTTCGAAGGAGCTTCCGGAAATACTCTGATAGTTGACCTTGGGAAAAGCACAGTTCAAGGAGAATCGATGAACGGGGTCGTATCACATTGGCGATCGTGGTATTTCATGTTGTAATGTTGAAGATGCTTCGACACAGTCCATCGCCTATATCAGATGCTGCACCCATAGAACGGCCGTGCGATGAGATGGGAGTTTGGATGCTCCGCGGGAGTTTTTTTCCCGTTCACCAGATGTTCATTCACAACATTCCCATGATATTAGTCACGTTGACATTTGGAGAGATTCATCTTCGTGGGCATTTTGCGACAAACGCACATCAGAGTGAGGGATCGACGTCATGCTTTCATGATGAAAGCCATGAACTCTGTTTCTATCCGGAAATTGTCAAATGTGATCCTAGGTATAGAATCTGGTCTGTCAGAAACGGCCAGCAACCGAGCTGCAAATCTGAGTTGATATCAGACTTTCTTGGCTAAGGCGACTCAGTGCAGTGTTCGGCACCGCGTGGGTGGGAAAGCTATGGTCTGTTGGTATGTCCAGGCCCTGTTCACGTCCCTAATTCGAATGCCCAGAGCTGCAAGTGCACCCTAAAGTAGGAACCATTCTATCTTCACCATTCATCCTTCATTATTTCTGATAACTGGGAAAAGTCGAGTGTAAGGAGAATCTTTAACTTTTTCCCTTTCCGCTCCTATCCCTTGAAAGATTTTCCCATTACAGTTCTGCATCACACTGTCGAATTCTCTCAGAGGTTGTTCGGCCTTTTTTTTCCTATGGGAACTCCTCACCGCACCACTCCACTTAATATGCAGTGCACAGTGACCACTTCGAATACGAGATTTTCGCGAGTCGATTGAAGTAAATTTTACCTTCCATCAGTGCAAGTACGCCCTTTTTTTGATTTTTCTGGAAAGTTCCCTTCTAGTCACATGATTCCTTCGGAATGAATTGGAAACAGTTCTGAAAAGAAAATAGATTTATGAAGGGGCTCTTTTCCCAAGAAAGAGGACCAAATGATAGATGAACTTGTTTATATTTTGACAGGATATACGGAGAAAACGTCTCCGATGTTACGAAAACTGCCACAGAAAGTACGAACCGGTTAGTTGTGTGGTCTATCGTGAAGAATAATTTATTATTTCCCCAAAAAAAATTGACCGTCTCGTGACTTGCAGCACAAAAAAACATGGTTTCGAGATTTATGAAAGGTCTGGAAATTTTTGACCACTTCTTCACGTGGGCAGGCGCAGGAAGGTGCTGCGTAATTTCAATGAGGGTGAAATCTTTGGTGTTACCAATCCCACGCTTCGGATGACGTATTCAGTAAAATGGGCAGTTAGCTGGTATACGAGTCAGGGCTTTATCCTCCCAGACAATTCTCGTACCAATCAATCGAGCTCGGAGGGATGAAGGACCGATTGGAATGGCGAACATAGATCCCCTCCGCTCCCAATGATTGGGTTTGTCTCAGAAAATTGGTGCGTTTATTTACTACTTTGATAGATAAGTTACAGGGGTACGGCCTGTACCAGAGGATCCAGTTCTCAGATAGCTTCTGCTTGCGTTGTAATTCAGAAGTGCGTGAGTAATTCGAAGAAATGCTGAACCATCTTCCATCATGGGCCGTGCAGCAAACCTGTTCGCACTTTCTTTAGCAAGTCTCGTCACATGGAGGGCATTTTTTCGTAACTTCGTTTTTCTTCTCTGTCAAACGATATAAAAACAAATTAATCAATCACTCTGCTGCAGTTTTCATAGGGTTCACTGCGTCCGAAAACTCAACTTCCCCTGGATGTCTTTGAGTCAAAGCTCATATTATACATGCGTTCTAGGGAAAGCGACTGTCTTAAGGCGGGATAGGGTGCTTGGTCCAGAGATCGTATCCCACGTTGACGCCCGCCTGGGCTAACCTACTTCTGTGTTCGGTAGACAGTACCGGATTCGTCTGGGAGGATAGAACTACTGACTTGAGCACCAGCTGGCCACTTCGGGTTATTGTGTAGGCCACGTATGCATTCAAAACACCTCAGCAATTACCAATTGTATTCAAATGCGAGGAGCATTCCAAAACTTGATCGATCAACTGTGAAGACTTGCTATGAATACTTTTGATTCGAAACAACAGCAAGTACAGTAATTGAAGTATTTATTGCATAGATTTAAATGTGTTTCATCCAATATAAGCTATGCGAGAAAAAGAGGAGGGTGATCCCTTAACTTGTCATCGCTACTTATTCATTGGAGGTCTCGTCGTCGCAACTAACTCTTGGAAGCGAACAGCAATCGCTCATCGAGTGACGGTATGGCAAGATAAATGGGATGAGGTTTTTCAAAGTCACGTCGCTGGTCACTGCTACCATCGTAGGAATGCACTTTTTTCCATGAAAGGTGCGTGTGCACGGTGGAACTAAGCTATTCCATCTTGTTCACTGCAAAAATTTAAGTTGAAGGCTATTCGCCAGTTGCCATATGCCACAGTAATTTTCCACTGGCCTAGTTTCAGTCAAGTGTTATTTGCCATCTGATTTTTAATCTGGCATCAAACTCACCCCAATGGACCCTTATAGAATTTTACCTGGGCTCTTAAGCACCATGACNAGGTGCGTGTGCACGGTGGAACTAAGCTATTCCATCTTGTTCACTGCAAAAATTTAAGTTGAAGGCTATTCGCCAGTTGCCATCTGCCACAGTAGTTTTCCACAGGCACTGGCCTAGTTTCAGTCAAGTGTTTTTTGCCATCTGATTTTTAATCTGGCAACAAACTCACCCCAATGGACCCTTATAGAATTTTACCTGGGCTCTTAAGCACCATGACGTCCAGGAAACGTGCCCCCCAAAAAAAGCACGTGTTCCGAAAACAAAGCTCCTCACAGAAAAAGTAAGTGTAACCATGGAAACATTCCGTCTGCTAACTTCTCGTTTTCACATCTAGCAAAAGAAGAGTGCTGATAGATGACGTGGTTGGTATCGACCTTTTTTAGGATGCGCTATGCACTCAACTTCCACTTGAGAGCTCGCATAACTTGCATAAGCGAGTTGTACGGTAACACTGACTCCAGTTAAAGATGTTCAAACCAGTCATCGACTTTTTCTGAGAAATTATCCAGAAAATGAGCATAGATGGAGTACACTGAACAGCGCGCTATCGCACGAACGGTCCCAGGATCAAATCCCTGATCGATATCCCCCTAGGCCAACCAAGCCTTCCATTCCACTCGTCTGTGAGGATAAAAGCGCTGGCTCGTGCATCAGATGGCCCTCGCAAGTCATTGTTTAGTCTACATACGCATTCAAAATGCTACCACGATTCTGGATGGAGTTCAGTGAAGAGGCCTAATCCAAAAATTACACCGCAGCAGATGGCCAATATTGTTTGGTGTATTTTGGAACAATATTTTTACTAGTGAGAGGCTGTAAGTATTACCGATTTTCCATCATGGCAAGACAGTATCGCCCCAAAAAACCAACGCTACACACATCGAAAAGGCACGTAACAGATCCGGCAAAAGATTGCACCGAAAAACAGCCATGAACTCACATCGTTCATAGGTTATAGAATGATTTCGAGTGAGCCGGGAAGGTATACGTGCGATGCCATATTTCGGCAATNTTACAAATACTCACGTCCTACCTAAGCTTTTTGAAGAGACCATTAATTTTCTGGGAGAGAATGGCAGAAGTGATTGAAGAGGAGTATTCTGCAAGACCAAATCGGTTTCACTTGAAATTCTAGACGGAACCGTCACCGTATCCCGAAAAGCAATGGATGGAGAAACTCTATGTCAATTCGACCGCTGCAGCAGTCGGGTCTATTTGCATAAAGCCATGTAATGTAAGATAGGTATGATGACCCCCAAGTGATTTAGTGAAACCTTTCGAGGTCTAACCTGCCACCTCAGAAGGCAGACAGGCCTTGGTGGAAGCAGACATAAAAGTAATGCCTCGCGCGGTCGGATATCTCACTTGACTGCCCGCGACAGAGTATAGGTAGGTTCACCAAGTTCTGGATGGGTACGGCAAACTTCGCGGCGATATTCGTGGTGATTTGAACGACTCTAGCGCCTATCATTGGGGCATAGGTTCTAAGTACATGGATTGGACAAGTAGGGCCAGCTGATTCTAGTAATCTACCCTATCTCAAATTTGTGCCCTAAGGGTAGGCGCTAGAGTCGTATAAATCATCACGACTTCCGCCGCGCAGCTTGCCGCGTCCATCCACAAATGGGTGAAGGTTCCGTCCCCGTCCGCGGGTCATTTGTCGGAATCAAGTTTATAGGATCCGCAGAAATGCTGTGGAGCATGAAATTGGCAAAGCGCCAGTGATTACTTGCTTTCAATGTCGGACGCCTTCCATTCGAAAGCACAGTTCGTTTTATAGATGTTTTAAGACCTCATACCTGTAGGAAACCATCCTCCCTGAGAAGGCTATAGGGGCCGTAGTGGAAAAGTGGTCTACAAAGGGCAAGATTTCGAAATCCTACCCTGACGTCCACTGTCACTCGAGAAAGGTCAGGATTCAGCTGGTCCACCCAACACTTTGTAGGTGTGGGTCCTTCTTTCAAGCTGCGGCGGAAAACCCACGTATAGGATTGAATCCTGTCAGGGGCCAAAACTTGCACATGACTCGCCAGTTTTGTGAGACTAGTATTTGGGGATTTCATCACAAGATATCATATCAACTGCACTCATGTTAAAGTAAGCAAGTTTGACGTCAGAGCTACAAAAACGCATCATGGTGAGTGACCCATGAGAAGCGGGGTGGTGCAGTAGAAACGAAATTGTCGCGTCGCGGCGAGAAAGACGTCGCGCGCGAAAGAGTGTAGCAGAATGCAGCAGGGGGTGAGAAATACATGAAAAGAATTATCAGTATAATCATGCCTGAAGTAATAATTGTATAGCGACTGAGCTGTATGAAGAACGCTAGAACTGTTATAACGAAGCAAATGGTCCGCCACAACCGCGTGCGGCGGATCGCTCCACATGAAACCGTTCCTACTGCCCATCTCCCATGAGAACCTGATGCTGAGTTCTCCCTGGGACATTTACAGTCAGCGTATGCTTCAGTTCATCAAGTCTAACTTGATGACGCACTTAGACGATACCATAAGCAGAATTCGGGTTGAGGTTTCAATAGGAATAGACATCGAGGTGTTCGATAGGGACTAGTGAGTGGGAAGCAAGATTACGACCAGGGTACGAAGTTCATTCACCGCGACTTCAAGCCATTTCAACGCATCGCCTTAGAATTATTGCTGAAATGTAGAAAACACCTGTTTTCTGCTTCCGTAAGTAGGTACTTTGATTTTGATTCTGCCGATTGTTCCAAGACGAGCATAAAGTGCTCAGAGTATCAGATAACGGGATGACTGCAGACATCTCCGAAGCGAGTGGTGTCTTGGAGACCTCTGGTCAAGTTCGGCATCATAATTTCGTCATCTCTCGCATAGCCGCTATCGGCCCTTATCGGAACATGCGAACTCAGCTAGCTCTATAAAAGGCCACTTGGCTAGACCAGAATATGTCTAGCCTTTTTACTATTTTACTGTAACGCTCCTTATTAATTAAGCCATACCGATCCATTATTCTGAGGTTATACTCATTGCTGCACTATAGACAGTCCATAGCCCATGAAGCAAAATGGATATTTGACTATTCGAGTAAACCAGGTGGAGAATTCAACCTTCTGTCCAATATTGAGTGCTACAGCCAATGCAATCCTTTATTAACTGTAGCCCTGTAGGGCGAGAAAACTTACTTCTAATATAACGAAGACCTTGTAGCTGTTAAGGTAACTCACAACCAACGCCTTTTTCAGTGCTCCTCTCCCCTTGATGAGAGGAGAGAGAGAAAGAGGAAATAGAGAATAGAAGAACTTGCGCTGACACTTAGTATTTTCGTAAGTCTTGAAACCTTAAAGGTGCGGTACTTCGGGTAGAAATGAAACCAAGTAGATAAAAAATAAAGGATAAAGTTTGCGTTAATCAATCCCGTCTGAGGGATGCGCCCCCGCACTCGACTTCCATCCAGGATCATAGTGGCGTAATGAGTGCGTATGTGGCCAATACAATGACTTGCGGTGGCCAGTCGATGTACAATTCAGTGCTTTTATCCTCCCAGACGAGCCTGGTACCAATTCACCGACCCCGGAGGGATGAAAGGCTTGGTTGGCCGGAATTCGAACCCCTGACCGTGCGTGTGATATAGTGCGCCACTTGCCACTACACCGCCTCCGCCCGAGTAGATAGTAATTACATATTTATAGTAGCGAGGCGGTATAAAACTATCCCCAGCGGCTTTTTTAATTCTACAGTTTTTCTAAAGAATCAATTCCAGGGTTCACCAGCTATGAAGGCAATCTTCTCTGCCATCACCCTCTTGGTGACTATGTGCTCGTTGGCACAGTCTGCAGTTCACAAGGTTGGCTTGAAGTGAGTTTATCTGCGGATTTTATCAAGCGTCTGCCTACTACTCGAGAAAATTTCCACTAAATATAAGTTTCACCACGAAAAAATAGTTATAAAAGCCACTTCATCAGCTGACTCGAAGCTGAGATGGCTCTACTTACCTTCTGTTACTACTTTTTTGATCAGCCACAAAAAAAAATTCTCAAAAAATCTTCGACACTTTTCGAGGTAAGAAGAGAAGGGGCAAAGTACCGCAGTAAACAAAACTCCCTATGTCAATTCAGTTGCGAAACAAATTTCAGAACCTATTTAGGTATACGCCGTCGTTAAAGATGAGGTTATACGCTGAGGGAAGGTTGGAACAACACCTGAAGCAGAAGGCTGTCCGGATGGCGAGACTATCACAACATCTTGATGCCACTAACACTCCTGTCATTGACTACGATGATATGGCCTACATGGGTAAGGAAGTTCACTACAAAAGCTCAATTGTCCAGTACGAGTTTTGACCAAGCACCACTGGCATAGGGCTGGCACTTATCTAAGCTCGCTCTAAGCGTATTAAAGTTCATGCAAGAGGAGTACATACGTTTATACTCTATGAGCACCATGTATCACTTGTTATCGATCAGTACTAATTCTCACCATACTGCTATCAGTTCTACGGATCTCCTTCACTGAGGGTTCTCTCTCACTGAAGGATCCCCAGCCGGTTAGTGACGAGGCTACGTAAGGCGTCCCCAGGTGGCGGATAGGGGAATTATTCGCCGACCAAAAGTCACCGGTACTTGCCCAGAGACGCAGGTGGATTCAGGGGATGGACTCCTTGATTCTGCTGTGCTGGGTCGATATACCCTCTGTTCCTCGCAGGCGATCCACGCATACGTGTGTGGAGAGTCTGTGGGTGCAGTTGGTATCCTGCCCATCGACTTGGCCAAAAGCTTGCATTCGAGTGGTGATCAAGTCACACTGGGAAGTATCTGGGAGGCGATTCGGGACCGCCTCCAAAAACAAAGCCCCTTGTCCACTTCGGGATAGCCTGGCAAGCCCCCGGAGTCAATAGCCCCCACGTCAGAGCCTGGCAAGCTGCACGTTGGGTATCTTCACGCCAAAAACAGTAATAGAAATGGGCCTCATTCCCCTGAACCTGAGGGAGCCCCCAATACGGCAGCGTTGGGTAGGACCGCTCGGGAGAGGCTGCTAAAATCTCAGGGCCAAAACA